CCCCCCCCCACCCCAGTGGGGCCGTAATAATAAAGAAAAAAAAAGCAATGAGTTGTAGCCAAAACAAAAGATCTTAGCAGTCCACTTTAAAATTCAGTGTCTCTGACATCAATAATAATCCCGGAAATTAAGTTCAAGCTTATACTTTCAAATATAAGAAGCCTCGAATAAACAGGATCATTTCCTTTTTTTCTACATCGTATAAGGAAACGACCACGTCAACTTACAATTATGTTGGGTAACAATCTTGGTTCGACCGGCGAAACGTTGAAATATTGTTTTCCTGCGCGAGCTTTCCGCAACATCTTCGACTAAAACCTGTTCATGCAACAAAAATGTCGTCATCCCGGCTATAATGATATATAAACGTTTAATCGTTTGTCTTGCGAGACAGTGCCTCTTTTAGTGTTTATAAGAAAAGCTAACTTTAATTATGGTGTTTTGTCATTTTCCGTGTCTTTAAAATCATTGCTGAAAATAACTCGATTCACACGTAACACCCGGAAAGGGAAGTCCCAATTTGGTTTGCTCCCAGTCTCTTTTTCCCCTCACGGTTTTCCAAGAAAGCCGGAAGTACGATTCCTAGAATGTTAATTCATGTAAAATGAAAGTGCACTGCATACGAAGTAGTTATTTTATGACGGTGTTTCTGTCGGGAAAGGAAGAGGAATCCTCGCTTGAAAAACTGTAAAGATTGACGGTGAGTTTTCTGGATTCCTTGTGAATTATCCTGGTGTAATCTGTGATCGAACGCATCGATAATTTCTCAGAATTCTCAGGGATTTATCAACTAACACAAGTTCTCGCGAGCGGAACAATTTTCTGGCTTTGTACTATAAAATACAAGCAACTTATTCCCCATAAGTACCCTCAGAAGTTATCTACGACTTCTAGTGTTAACTACTTGATAAAGAGACAAAATCTTTTACAGCTTTAGAGATGAAGCTGCCTTCTGTAATTCCTAGCAAACTTAAGATATTTGCGTTTGAAACTACAATATACTCTTACTTTCTACTGTTTTCATTTTCACTGTAATCTTTGAGTAAGCAGTGACAAAGACCTTTTTTTTTCCATTTCAGCATTCGCTAATTCTTCAAGTTATCAAAGACAAGTTTCAAGCTCGTGCCTCATCAACAATGGATGACGAATATTCATATTACGGTAAGGTTTGCTATGAATGTAAATAGGAACGAAAACAGATAATATTCTTGTGTAGTTATAAGATGGTTTGCTCTCATAATTGTTCGACAGTAAATTTTTACCTCTAGTTTTAGGTATAAGATTACTGATAAATGGATTTAGAACGTAATCTAGTAGAATCTTGCGTTAAAGCGACCGATCGAGACATTTTCAGCTCCCATACTGTAGATATCGTAGGTGTTTATTATTAACGCACCACTGCACTAGGGCTCGTGTTCATGACTTCGCAAATTTCTCGAGTTTTTATCCTAAGTTTAGTTCAAGAAATAACGTGAAAGGTGCAATTGTTGCTTATTGCCTAAATGCCCGCGATTTGAGAAATTTGCTAAAAATTAAGCGCAGTAATCTCGAAGGGTCAAAGCATCCTGAAGCAATTGTTTGTACTAGTAAATTTCTGATGCAAGCACACTTTCGGGAAACAGGGCATTAAAAAAACTTCACAATTAAGGAATTACGTCTCTTGAGATGATAGAATCCTCAAAGTTACCGGTTGATAAATCACAAATCTTTAGGTCAGCGTCGAAAAACTTTTTTTTCCCTTGCTCATCGGAGGGACATTCCCCATGTTATTTGCTCGATTTAAACCGGAAGTCCTGTCACACGAGAATATCTAATTTCACTCACTATCAATTCAGCATTTTCAGACAGTCTGTTACACAAAGGAATCGAATCAATACCAGGACATAAATATTACTGTCTGAGCTTGCTTCAATAAGCTGGAAGCAGCAAAAATTCTTGCCCGCAACAGAGAAATGTAAAATAATCGGGAAAAATAATACCAGACAAATGCACCGTATGATTTTAAAAAAAGCTCGCTAAATAAAATGAAGCAGACACTTGGAGATGCTGTTATTTTTTATTCAGGCATATTAAGATATCTTCAGTCTTTTAATCTCGGAATGAAATGCCCACGAGTGGTTGTGTTCTACTTTAATCTAGGATCAGATAAATTATGCTAAAATATTTGAGCATTATACTTTTGAGTGTCACCCTTGAAAACAAAATGGCATTAAGGTAATTTGTTTCCATTAATCTAGGTTCAATAATTCGTAATAATTGTTAGCTTTTAAGAGCCCCTCAGCCTCCCTTCCATTCCTATCACCAACAGGTAAAACTTACTGAGAGTAAAAGGCTTAGTTCAGATCACGACAATTTACTGGATAAAATTCCTAAAGTTTAACAAGAAAAGCAGGATCACTATTGACTCTATGGCGACAGAATTAATTTCTTGTTAAACTGTAAAATCAAGGGAATTGTTAATTAGTTTAAATCATTATACAGCCATTATGTTTGATGCTCCAACTGTGGCATTATGCTCCAAATTACACCGGCATAATTTATCACACACTACCTCTGTCGTTGGTTTCCTCCTTACAAAAAGGAGTTTCGTCTCTCTAACTCCAAGACTGTTACGTTGAATTTTGTAGTGTAATGAAACGTTTTATCATATGTTCAGAGGCATTCAGACCCTCACTGTAGGGAGATCGTGTGCGGTTTTGGTGGAAAAAGCTACAAGGACATTTGAAACGCAGGGTGGTAGGAAGAAATTTCCAGTGGGGGAGAGAGAGGAGAGAATCCTGTATCATCACCTTCACTGACTTTTGAGGCGCTCGTAAACTAGCTGTATATCTTTTTTTTTTTTGGTAGTTGACTTTGAGAGGTATTACATGTATTACAGGGCCACCTTTGATAAAAACTAACTGGTCCCTCACTTTTTCATTCACAGACGACGACGACGATTATGAAGAAGAAGAAGAAGGGAATGAAGATCTTGGTTCTTTTAATGTCAGTGACTTTGTTGACAAAGAAGATGGCGGAGTTAGTGAAACAGTTGAAGAGAATAAGAGAGACAAGGAGTTGGGTTTTTCATTTGCTGTCAACAAGAACGAGAAAGAAGAGCAGGAAGAGGAAGAAGAGGACCCGGAGGAATTTGAACGAAAATCAAAACAACTGCAAGAGATATTCAGTTGTTTGCCACCAGTTCTTATCAAGAGAATTCTCCGTCGAGATGACGTGAAAGGAAATATCGAAAAAGCCAGTGAGAAGCTTCAAGAGTTTCAAGATATGGAGAATCCTGCGGACCTTTTTAAAAATCCAGCTGAAGGAAAACCATTGATTAAGAAACCTGAAGGAAAATTTGAAAATCCTCAGACACACGGTCCTATTAAGCAAGCTTGGATGGCAGAGGACAAATCTTCCGGAGGCCCTGAGCAGGAAAGTAATAGAGGGAAGAAAAAGAGAAGAAAACCCAGAAAAAAAAATCAGACGCAAGGGCAACATGGCGATGCAGAACTACAAGATGAAAGAAGAAATAGTTGTAATAGCGATAAGTCTGATCAAAATGAGGGGAGCCAAGCTTGTCGAGGCAACAACCCAAGACAAAGAGGCACGACAAGAGGAGGACCACAGAGGGGACCCAGAGGTGGGTTTTTCCAGGGTACAAACAACACCCAAGTGTCTAGAGATGATCAATTTTATGCCCCTCAAAGACAGTGGTCTGGTCATCAAAACGCCTTTCCGCCGCAGAGAGGACGTGGAAACCAACGAGGACAAAGAGGTGGCTTTCGTCCGAACCCAATCGCAGGACATCGAGATAATTCGCTTTATGGATCTCAGGAATGGCGCTTTGGTGATGGAGGCAATTTTCAACCTGAAATGGGACGTGGAAGTCAAGGCAGTCGAGGGCGTCAACCGAAACCAAAACCGAAGCCAAAGGATAGGGGACGAGGTGGGAGACGGGGTGGCAATTTCCAGGAGCAACATCAAATCCCAAGAGATTTTGAGGAGGGTGATCAGTTCTCAGATACTAAAGACTACTCTCAATTCATGCAAAGACAACCAAACCAACGAAATGCAAGAGGAAGAGATCCTCAAGGAAATCAGGTGCATCCAGTATCCTTGAGGGAGCTTGTCAGTAGTAAAACCCCGTCCCCCAGTTCTTTCGATGATTCGGATGCAGGGAAGGTTAGACAAGATGAACCCAGCAAACACAGACAAGGAGACCGCGGTAGGCCACGGAACCGCGGTGGTAACAGAGATGGCATTCAAACTGGAATAAGACGAACACAGAGCAAGTCCAGTGTGGCGGAAGAGGGGCCTACTGATCAGTCTCAATTTGAAAGAAATAAAATACTCATTCGAGGGCTGAGTGGGAAAACTTCTCGGGACGGACTGGTGAACTTTATCGAGGCAAAGAGCAGTGGGGAAGAGGTTAAGGACGTACAGATGCTGAAGAATGGAAAAGCCCTAGTCACCATGGCTGATGATATCAAAGGTAGGTAGCCTTCAATTGAATTTGGAGGGTAAGCAGGAATTTATTTGATCTGCTCGCGAGTTATTAGGGATGAAAGTTCACGCCGGCTCAGTTTTATCCTCTCAGTTTCAAGCAATGAACTTACCTTCAAATTATATGAGATTTACATTTCATTGACTAATAATGTTGTATGCTTTATTAGTAGCTGAAGAATTAAGATGCCTCATTTCAGGTTTTCCACTATATTCAGACATTTTCTTTTCCAAACAATAAAAATAATCCAGATCAAGTCAATCAATTTATTTTGAATTTAACGAGTGTTGTTTCTTTCAGGAAGACTCCCAAAATGGAGTCTAACCCCAACCCTAGCCCAAGACAAACATTTGTTAAAAATGTGATCTGTTTTTTTTTTAGATTTCAGGAAAATAAAGACTAAATGCGAGGAGAGAGGTCTGGATAGTGCAAAGGTTTCTATCGAACAAGTCCCAGTTTGCAAAAGCATCCTTGTCACTGGCTTTTCAGACATTACCCATGATTTTATT